ACATGTGCCTGCAGAGACTCTTTAGGTCTGGATGTCACAGCGTTCAGAAATCAAAGCGACTAGTTCAACCTGCATCATTTCATAAAGCTCACGAAGTGAATTCTGTAAAGCTTTTCCTGCTAACTGAATATACAGGATGAGGAGAAGTGACTTTAAGATGACGTGTCTCGTATAAACAGATTTAAAACCACTGTGCTTCACAGATATGTTTGTTGTTAGGCATTACTCACTTTGTTTATGTTGTAAATAGAAAGGTTACGTTCTTGATCTTAACACTCAGTAAAAAGAAGTCTTCTCTTACATCATAACGTGAGCTTTAGTTTGGGCAGTAGCTCCAAACACCAATCAGCCGTCGGGGGCTCCCTCCAACAAGTAAACAGCTCAGAGTTAGTTCTCCAGTTAACTGAAACAGACGGTATAACTTCAGACCAACATTAAACACATCAGGAATGGTTTAAAGGAGCAATATCTAACATTTTAGCTTCAACTTATAAAGTAAAGGACTTTCTACAAAGTACAGGCGGTAGACTATTGACACCATTGGGGTATCGATTGGTTCCCAAGAAAATGATGTCAGCTTTCAAGCCCCAAACTCCCTCATCATCAAAGGCTTGCAGAGAGCTTTCAGTAAAGTGGAACTCAATTGTTTAACTCAACTAAAGCTAGCTAAAAACTAGGGCTGCACGATTTGGGGAAATAATTGAATGATTTTCAGATATTGCGATATTTGTTTTGAAGCGACCCAACAGGAGTTTATTGTAAAAAGCGGCCATATCTCCGGCTAGGAAGGTCGTATCAACGTGCTCCCGTCTCTAGCACCCCGAGCTACGAGTGAAAGAACTAAACTTACATGAAACTTCCGTTGGGTTGCTTTAAAGTCAAGCTTCAGTTAAAGATTCACCCTGTAATGGAAACATGTGATGGAGCATTGCTGACCTGACTCAGAAAGCATCTAGGAAAGCTCCATTGGAAGCCATTTGGAAAGGGCAGGCACTTTCAAAAGCACTTGACAGGTGATTGGATCAATCTGTCTATCACTCTCTATCATGGGCCACTTCTGATTGGTTAACAATGGCTGGTACATGTGGAGCACAGCACTTCTGATTGGTGTGGATGACTGACACAAGAAGAACAAACAAAAACAAAAATCGCAGGCTTTGCGATTTGATAATTGCATCATTTCAAATCGCGATTTCAATTTCAAATCGATGAATCGTTCAGTCCTACTAAAAACTCAACAAAATAGCATTCAACTCGACTGAATTGCTAACAACTCAACTAAAGCTAGCAAACAATTCAACCAAATAGATAAAAGCTCAACAACAAAGCTGGAAGTAAAGTAACTATCTCCAAGTTGCTCAAACTTAAGAAGCGAAACTGTGGAAACCCTACCTTGAAAAACATCGTCTTGACTAAGCTAATATACAAAAGCTACTTCCTTATTAATACCACAACGGTTTCATTCTGCCTTTACCCTAGCACATCAGGGTTTGGAGTGCTTTGTGATTCATAGTGCCGACGATACTGTTGCTTAGTCTTCTTGTTCATTTCAAATGAAGGGACTTAAAAGTGTAATCGACATCAGATTTGGAATCAGATTTTGGAAACATATGCAGTATGCCTCATGTTCTGAGGATAATGGAAAGCAATGGTTGTCTTAGCAACCGGCTAGTGGGCGAAATTGGAAAACGTTATAAGTTTTCACATCAGTGGTATGAGAAAGGGAAAGCCAGCATCGGCACAACAAAAAGGATTCTCGACTCTCCTTCGCCTCCTACTTCGGCTCGCCAGCTGACAGTCAAATAGGTTTTTACAGCTCTATGATTATCACCTTCCTGCAAACTCGTTGCCCGTTGACCCCTGCTGCACATGTTTAGGCTACTTCATTTGGCAGCACTATAAAACGCTAAAGAGAACAAAACAACGAGAAAGCCGCTCGCATAAAAGTGCAGAGAAACGCTATGTGCGAGTTTTACGAGAAGAATAATCAATAAAGATTGCAACTCTAATTTGAATGACTCCCTACAGATAAATACACGTAATAAAACCCAATGTTCTATGACATTTACTTGGCCGGAGAATACACATTATGGTGGTTTTCACAAACAACTTTACCAATGGGATAAATGTGTTGACTTCAACAGAACATCTGGCATGGTAATTTATTACAAAAATAATGTATATAGTGGTTTTGCTCGAAGAAAGACACTGATTGTGTTTACATGTGTCACTATTACTGCGTCAAAACAACTTGCAGTATTTTGTATTAGCTCTATCGCTTTTTAAAAAGGGACTATTTTTTGTACAGTGCATGGTGTTTACGAGTCCACTGTAACCAATACAACAAATGCATTCTCTGCACCCTGTGAGGAAAGTTGTTTTTCTTTGTAGTTGTTGAAAGAGTTGTGATTAAAAACACACACAACAGGTTTATCATAAAGTCAAGGTGTGTGTGTGTGAAAGTCACGAGTGCTTCTCCTCTACTGTGAAGCGCTGATGGCAGCGATCCAAAAGTCAAATGATTTGGGCATCGGCCTGCAGGCTGAAATTCCACCTGCGGAGAGGCACGAGGCTTGATAAGAGTTCTGATTAATAACACTGCTCTTACACAACTTCCCCTGACAGATATAGGAACTGGCAGGTAAAAACACACCCTCCCTGTTTGACAACATGACACTATTCATATACACAGCTGTGCTAGCTCAGGCGTTGTCAAAGTCATGAGAGCTGCAACGTGATGCGTTTGAGAGCCAAGCTGCAATTGGAAAACAAGAAACTGCGACAGAGCTGATGTGTGCCTTTGATGCTACAAACACCCTGGACAACTACTTGGTGTTGTTTAAGGCACTTAGGGACGGGGGGGGGGGGGGAAGTGATTTGTTGCAAACATTTAGAGCCCAGTCCCTGTCTTCCTACCAGAGTAGCATGGATTAAATGTCTTGTTTAAAGTTGACTTGAATTATAAAAAAACTGTTTTAGAAATCAATGAGTCATTTAGGTCAAGCTAAAAGTAGTGTCAGCTTCTCAAATGTCTCATATTGTCAGCTTTTGGGGTTTAAATGATAAACCTAACTGTATGCATCGTATCCAGGTTTTGAGGGTTAACCGAAGATGAAAAAGCGCTACGTGTGAAAAAGGTTTTTACATTCTGAATAAAGTCAGACTTGATGCTATGTGTAGAAAATGTCACTAGTGATACAGGTGTCATTCTTTAAATAGTGAGACTATACCTAAGAGTACCGACTGCTCCCGTTCATTTGTCAGTAGAAAGTATTGCTCTAAAGGCCGCATGGTGAGAATACAAACCTGTAAACTTCACTATGGCTGGATGCAATTAACCAGGAGAAAACACTGGAATGTATGCAAGGGGAAGCAGTGGAACAGACTTAAAAGAAAGGGGGTAGAGGAGACGCGGGAAAAGAAAAAGAGGGTGACAAAGGGGGAATAGGAGCCAGATTGCAGAATGACCGTGACAGCATGTCAAATACACGTGCCGTCATGATGGGGTGCCATGATGGCTGACAAAAGCCTCCACACTGAGCACAGTCCGGCTCAGTCTGCAGCTGAACATGACTATGACTATGTCAACATTAAACCAGCAGCCTCTGGAGCTCGGACACCGTCTGAACAGCTGAAGACACAGCTCTCCGGGGACCTGCTGTGCTGATAATTCAATTAGACCAATGTTTACTGGTTCGCTCAGCAACTGTTGTTTTAATCATGGAACTATGGCGTTACTTTTCTCCAACTTTTTGGACGGTTTGAATTTCTCTCAAGCTGCTTAACACACAACATTCTCCAGAATATTTGTGCAGTTGTTGGGTGAGGCTGACAGTCAAACTCCCTCCATACCCTACCGCCTTGTTAGTGTACTCACAACATGAAACTCCTGCTAAACCAGAAGAGCACAGCGCCAACACTAGAATGCTGCCTGAACTGCTCCATTCCTCTAAAGAGAGTTTATCAAATGTATCTAACAAATCGCAGAAAGAAGAACACTGCATCTTCAAAATGGGGCACGGATGTCTTTTCAGAACAACATTTTTAGTAACCACCGGCAACTGCTATAGCCACTTTTGAGCAGAAACAGGGGCAAAGGGTTGAGTAATTGTACACATAAATAAACCATGGCACAGCTCCCTTAGGGTGGTACACAAATCAACAGATCCAGCTTCTAATAAAAGACTGAACTGGGGGAGAGGCGCAAATACCGACAAGAAGGATAGTGTGAGGAGAAAAGCAGCCTCACTGTCACACAGAGTCCTGAGCTAATGGAGGTGGGTGTGTGGTGGCAGAGGGGTCGAGCAGGACAAACAGCTGCTGAGTCACCATGCTCTGTGACTCAGCGAGTCCAGCCACTGATATTTTCACAACAACAAGTCAATTGAGCTGTTAATCAAGCGCCTTTTTCTGCAGAATGACATAATGAACACAGGGGCGGAGATAAAGCTCGGAAGAAAAGCAGTTCCGGGATGCAGATAGAAGCACGGCTGCAGCTTGTGATTATTTTCAGATTCTGTGCATTCCTGATAAATCAATTGGCCAATAAAACGTCAAATGACTGCGACAAATGCCCATCCCAGGTTCCCTAATTCCAAAATGGCTGTCTTTTAATGTATTTCTTATTAGATGTTCAGTAAAATACGATAATAAAGTGGAAAGTCTCCATATACGGAGAACAGCATTTTCTGCTATTCTTCCATGGAAAATTACTTTAACTATTAATAGATTATTATAATAGTTGTTGTTGATCGACTATCTTTGCAGCTCTAGTTGAAAGCAGAGAAGAACTGTTAAAAAGGGTGAAAACTAAAACCGACATCGATAACCTGACTTCACTCACATTGTCTAACGATATGATGAGTACATCAAATATATTTCACTGCATGTTGAGCCAAATGGCATTAGGGAAGAAATGGCACAATGCAAAGCAGCTTGAACTTGTATGTTAGCCTAGAAACGTATTGAACATTTTCGCATGCACAGGCTTGTGTCCTCACCTGTCCTCCTCTCCTTCAGCATGGTGGGTCCTGAGGCCTGCAGCAGCCACCATGAAGGCGCTTGCCTCCGCAGACATCCCCATGTGAGCCAGCGATCCTGCAGCACCTCCGGCCTCTGCAGCCCCGTCTCCACCTGCTGCCATCCCGAACCGGGGCAGACCCAGCAGGCCTTGGTGCTGGAGCAAGATCCTCTGGGCGTCCTCCAGCTGCGATGTTCTAAAGGAGCCCCCTCCTCCGGGGCCCTGGGTGAGGGTGGCTCCCAGGGTGAGGAGAGGCTGCAGGTCAGCTTGCAGGGCAGTCAAAGGCATGTAGTGGGTCCTGTGGCTGGGTGCTACTGGGATTGTAGCAGTAGGGGGCTGTGTCAGGTGAGTGGGGAGGGTGTGTGGCTGTCCTGTATAAGGTGCCTGGGTAGGTGGGGCTACCTGACCATGATGGGACAGCTGCTGGAATATATTGATTGGGGGCTGTGGAAGTGGGTTGCTGGAGATTCCCGCTGCACCGTGTGGTGGAAGAGGCTGGACCTGGGTCTGGAAGGGTGCAGTGGGCTGGATAAAGTCTGGCTGACGCACACTTCCTGGAGCATGGAACTGGGGTGCAGGGTAACCTCCCTGGGGTGGAGCCTGGTGGGGGTCCACAGTGTAGGGCAGCTGCTGGGGTATCACAGAGGGCGGCTGATTTACACCAGCCTGTGGTGTTGCTGTAGGGAGAGTGACAGGAGCTTGCTGCATGTGGGACCCAGCAACAATCTCCTGGGGTGAAACATAGGTCAGAGGAGTGGTTTGGGCCTGGGGCGGGCTCTGCACCGCTTGTGGGCTGGTGAAGTCCTGGCTCGGGGTCTGATAGGGCTGAAGAGTGTGAGGCGGCTGTACAGCAGGTACACCCTGATTTATCCCGGCATTACCTGCCTCAGTCTCTACAGCAACCTCTACACCTTTTGGTGCCTCAGATGCAGCTACAGGATGGACCTCCTTCTCATAATACTCTGTACACATCCATCTTCCTTTGCGGAATGGCTCAGAGTTAGTGTCTAGTTTGACCACCCTAAAACGAGAGCCGGTGGCCGTTTGAGTTTGGGTGTGCTGGGTTTGAGTGTTGGGGGCAGCAGATGGGGCTCCAGCAGAAGCTGCTTGCCCATTCACATTAGTGTTGTCATAACCTGCAGGCCCAGACACAGGTACTGCAGCAGCAGTGCCAGCTGACACATTCGAAATGCTCACACTGCCTTGCAGATGCGGATCAGCGGCTGTCCCAGCAACAAAAGGGGCTGCGGGCTGAGTCGTCCCACCTGCAAGTTTACTGTTATCCAACATGGGTAGCCTCTGCGTCTGGTTGGGCCCAACTCTGGAAGCCATAGCAGGGCTGGAGCTAGCCAAGGGAGCAATGGGAAGGCCTGGCAATGGGGGCTCACTTCCTTCCAAGCTGTCAGATTGCTGATGGTTGGGCTGCTGAGGGTAAAAATGATGGTGCATGGTACCATTTACCATCGAGGTGTGCTGCTGAGACCCCTGAGGGACGGAATGAGGGTGAAGAGGCTCGTTGGGTGACACGATTCCAGGTGTGTCAACCCCATGGAGACTGTTGAGTGTGTCATCAGAGGAGCTTCTCTCCGGGACACCTGTATCCGTGGCCCTGGACACGGAAACATCCAGCATATCAGAGGAGGAGAGGTCTTCAGTGTGTGACTCATCCATGTCATCATAGCTCTCCGTATCATCTGCCAAACTGTTGTTGCCGCTCACGTTGATCTGCGCTGAGGTGACACTTGTGATCTGGAAGCCACTCTTCTTCTTCACCTGAGCTCCGGATGCTTGGGACTGGGGCTGGTGGTGGAGTCCGGGAGAATTGGATCCAGCCTGGGGGGGATTGTCGTCGACCGTGTTGGAGCCACTGCTACCGGCTGCGGGGGAGCCAGGCGCACCGCTGCTACCCCTCCTGTAGTGGAAACCCGCCTTCCTGCTCGCGGTCCCAGGTGAGTCTGCAGAGAAGTCCTGGTGGTGCATCTTTACCGTCAATGAGCGACTAAAGGCTGGCTGGCGGCTGTTGGTGCTACCTGCTAGCTAAAGCAGATGCTAGCTAGCTGGGTCAGCTGCAGTACCGCGATACTAACGAGCCATAAGTGAGAAGTCAGATGATTTATGTCCTTTAAAGATCGAGCTAGATGTTCAAGGATGTAGTTACACTGAAATACTAGCTTATAAGCGGCGATACACTTACTAAATAACGTATTAATCCAACTTCAGTAGGATAAAAACACAGCTAATTAAATAAACAAAGAATGTTAAATGCAGCTAGCCGCTGGTTAGCTTGGAGCTATGTTGGGTCGCCAGTAGCGATTAGCCACACTCTTCCATAACTTGGTTTCTCCTCAATACTTATCAGGACTATTCTGCTGTAGTTAGTGTCACACAAAAGCACACATAAATAAGTGTAGCTCAGAATAGTTTAGCTTTACTTCACAGTGAATGTGAAAGCTTCTGAGCTGCCCGTGTATGTCGCAGGAAATCAGACGTCGCACAAATTCCTCCCCTGTACGTTGAGTCTCCTTTTTTTACGAAGCAAAAAATATCCTAGCGAAGAATTGACTCCTTGTGTTGTCATTAGACAAGGGTGTCTAAATAGTATCCGTCTTTGTAGTGGTAAAAAGTGCACGCTAAGTCCATCTCGGTGTGTCTCACTGAGTCCGTGTTTGCTGTATCATTGCCGGTGAGCAGCTAACGGGCTGTCAGTCTCAGAGGAGGGAGGAGGAATGCAAACACTGCGACTGCGCATGCTCTTGTCTGCCCATTTCTTTAGACCTTTGCAACGTTCAACGCTCCACTGTTAAAACGAAATGTACATAGCCTACACAGGTATTCAAGTAGAGCTAGTACATCGTGTCGTTTTCCTTAAAAAAACATATCTAATCTAATTTGAACCCATCCTCTTTATCCAAACCATTTTACTATTATAAAGTGGGCATTTTCGAAATAATGTATCAATTGTCCTAAAAGTCCATGATCAGAATGTCCGTTTTACAATATTTACACAGCGATGAAGGCAGCACTGGCCTCTGGGTTGTGTTGATTTATTTTTCTTGGACCCCACTGTTTGGGAAGTGCTACTATATATAAACTAAACCGTTATGAATAATATCTTTGAAGCTGCTTTAATCAACAATATTTCCCTTATTTATTTGCTAGCTACTGGTGAATACCACAGATGTTAAAACATAACGAACATTCAGATGTTCAACAACATGTGCAATATAACTTCTCAATACTATGTGGATTATCACTTTTAATGGCAATTTTCTTCAATAATGTATTTAGTTTTGTAAGCTTTTTTACAGTTAACTGTTAAACTAAATGTGTCATACAAAATCTACTTTTTATACACTTTATATGTAATACTCAATTGTTTTTCTATTCATTGTAATTGTATAGCAATTTCTGTGACAAGGATTTCCTTCAGCATTAAAAAAACCGAATTACTTTCTTCTTATTTTCTACACATGAATTATAAACAAAATTCCCTTAACAAATACAGCCTATTGCATTTAAGAAGCTTTTAAGCCTTCTGTATTCATATATCCTTTAGAATGAAAGGGTAAGAAACATGCAACAAGTCTTGACATGAAGATGAAGTAGAATAATCTGGACCCTGAGTCTGTAATAAAGTGTTCATTCATTCATTCAATCTCCTCATATAGGACCAGCTTTACTTGACGTTTATATAATCCCCCTATGGATCTCATGCATCAGAAACCACTCCAACCTGTATATGTTTGTTGTGCCTGCCTTCTGGCAACAGATTCTCTTGTTAAACATGACAGCATTCAAAGAATTGAGACACGCCTCACTTCCGACATGTCAGCATCATATTCATAAACACATCACATGCACCTGTAAGGGGGGGGGGTGTCTGATTCCAAAGGTTGCATAATGTTGAAACCGCAGAAGGTAAACAGAGAAAGTAAAGCCATGCTTTCAACTGGAACCGGAACGTCAAGACTGATTCTAGACAGCCCGACCTCTACGGAGTTTAGATAGTGTTGAGCCAAATGTACAAACATTTCAATTCATTCCAATGTATAAAAGGCTTATAAACACTGAAAAGTATCCTCTTGATCATTGGATATTATGCATTCATGCTAAAAATAACCAATAACAGCAAACAAGTACAAGCGAACTTATTATACATATGAAATGTCATCATAAACCATTTCTCTGCACTGGTGGCGGTTAACCTGTATCATTTCTAAATAAAAACAGGGTGTGAAAGAAAGACCCGCATCTCCTTAAATATAAGGTCATTTATTCAGACAAATTATCCATTTGATCCATTCAGTTGTTTCGAAGTACGGTTATATGATCATTTCTGCACAATATAATCTACATGAAGAGAAACACTTTAACGAGTGTGATCCTCCGGTTCATGTCTCAGTTGTGACGTTATTGACATTTAATCTGAAAAACGTCAAAGCCATGAGCGTGAGGCCTTATTATGGCAACAGAGACATGACATAGACCCGCACTGAAGTGACCAGTCAAAGGAAAACATATAAACACTTCTGTGAATAGTACAAATGCAAAATTGAGTCAATAAACTAAAATATTACATTTCACTCAAAATTGTCTTCAGGCAATAGAGAGAAAAACTGTATAAACGTATCTGCACAAATCGTTATCAAAAAGAGAAAAACCAAATCACCACCAGATGGCGATCACAGTCCTCCAGTATATGGAAACAGGAAATCCAGAGAAAATTAGGGAAATGAATTATTAGGGAAATAAATGTAAACATAAATACATTAACCATGAAAATAATTATATATGAATACAAATAAATACAAAAATGTACCTGCACATGTATTTAATAATTGAGGCTTTTATTTCTGAATATCTCTCTTATTTATTTGTTAGGTTATGAGTCAATATGGCCGAATTTTGTTCTCCATACACCTAAATACCAGCATACTAAAAATAACTAACTAAATAGTACATTTTAGAAGACATATTGTCATCTACGTATTACATAATCATATTGACACTGACTCAACTAAAAGCTAATGTACCGAAGAAATATCTTTCAAACGATGTTTAAAGCGAAAACGGAAGTTTACAGACAGGAACCCTCTTGCTCTGGTTTAGCTAGCTTTTTTAATATACGTGAGTCGTATTTAAGGTTGCACAGATGTCTGATAAAACTATGAAACGTCCAAGAGTTGGGGTCGGGGTTCTGCTAACAGACTCAGCCCACCCCGGGTGTGTTCTCCTGGGGAAACGGAGAAGTGCAATGGGCCAAGGGAAGTATCAGCTCCCCGGCGGCCACTTGGAGTTTGGGTAGGTAACATAAGCAGCTAGTTAGCAAGCTCCACACACAACAAATAAACCCCATTACAATGAAATAAAAACGTCTTTGCAAGTTTGTATAGAGCCGAATTATCCCAAAGTGTTCAGCATATATGAAAACATCTTTTAAATGTGCATTATTATACTTGCCTGCCAAATAGGTGTGCACAAATACAAATGTGTAATTTTTAAATGCACCTTGGTGTTCAGGAGTGTGTTTTTAAGAACCTTGTTTCTTAGACATTCAGTCATGTCAAAAAAGGTCCTGCAAGTGGATGCAGTCGTCAGTATAATAACTGTTTATCATGCATATGATGACTTTAATTGGATGTGACACTCATGTCTATGTCATTGAAAGAGAGACGTGGGAGGAGTGTGCTCACAGAGAGGTGTTGGAGGAAGCAGGGGTGTGTTTGGTGAACGTCTGCTATGCCTCTGTGGTGAACTCCATCAAACTGGAGGAGCAGTACCACTACGTCACCATCATCATGCAAGGAGAACTGGACAGGAAGCAGCCAGGAGAGCCAGAGAACCTGGAGCCAGAGAAAAATGAGGGTATGTGAAGCCGAATGGATGTTTTTACAAGATTTAGATGGAAAAGTTTCCTACTTACCCGACATATGCTTTGTTCTCTGCCTGACAGGTTGGACCTGGACTCCATGGGACCAGTTTCCTCCAGAGGAGCTGCTCTTCTTGCCGTTAGCCAACCTGAGACAACAAGGCTTCCAGCCGTTCAGGAACATAATAACCTCCAGCATTGAAACTCAGCTTTAAATGTTTGCATTGGGAAACTTCCAAAGCAAAAATACCTCTTCAAAACTCAATCTCTTGGTTTACAACGGTGGATGGATAACATGTAGTTTCTAAAACATAAAACACAATTTAGAGTGGCACAAGGACTTGAAATGTTTTGAACACACAACACAAGACACGTTTAAAAGTTTTTATTATTTTGTATTGCTTTTTGGCGCCAGATGTTATTTATATGTCGACATCGTCATATTCAATTAAATTAAAAAAAGATTTGTGGATATACTAATGTGTCAGGCATTGCCTAAAATAAGATTTGTATTGAAGTCTATGATTAATTGTAGATGTATTTATGTATAATAAATAGAATCAAAGGTGCATTGGTATGTATGATGCATTTACATACTTTTGCTCATAATTAATCTACAAAAATGTATAGCTTAAAAACTGGAGCTCTCCTTGAAACTAACCTAACATACGCAAGATAAATGCAACTTAAAGCAAAACAGCAGGAGTTATTTCCCCCCCCCCCTCCCCCCCTCACATCAGGGTGGTGCCGGTGACACCCAAGGCTAACAGCATGCTCCACAGGGTTGCAGCGGTTGCAGTGGCCCCACTAAAGGTCTTGTCGTGGGCGTAGGTGATGATGTGCAGGGCTCCGCTGTAGGCCTCCTCGCAGGTCGGCTGGATCTGATCCTGGGGAAGTTCAAAGCCAAACGTCCCGTTATCTCTCAGCTCAAAGGTGTAGGTTAAGGGGATCCCCTGCATCCGGGCCCAGTCTTGGGAGGAACCAGAGTTGGCGTCTGTAGAAAGAGGGTACACTGCTGTTTTTCTGCTAGCACGGCAACAAAGTCAAATACATCTGTGACCAGCTGTGATGTGTGGACTTACACAACATATCCGGTGAGGATCCTACGGTGTAGTCCTTCCCGTGCACGCTCCGAATGGCGTCTGCTGCACCCCTACCTACCTTCCTCTGAAGAAACACATTAGCTTTTGTTATACAGTCATTGAAAGCATCTGTATTAGCTCCATGTGCTTTACTTTTTCTTCAGTTTAAGAAAGAAAACTGAAATTAATTGTCTCAAAATGACCCATAATGACTGCAAAGACATGCAAAACAACAGAAAAATGAGCACTAAGAAAGGTTAAACATCTCAAAATACATGCAAAACAACTAGGCCTACATGAAGATGTAAAATAACAAAAAAAGACTTCCAGCCTGTAACCTTTTTCCTCTCAAGGGCCATTTCAATTTTTACAATATCCTCAGAGGGCCGTACAAATGATTGACCTCTGCTTAAAAAAACTAAAATCACAGCCCATTCATTTCATTCTGTGCAAAGAAAAAACAACCTCTTAATCCAGATATCTCCATGACTCGCGTATGCATGCACGTGCACGGTGTGGCGTGACCACCAAGACAGAAAGATATGGACACAAGATCTGTGCAAATGTATTTAGTTTCCTATCCATGTGAACATGATTTAAGTGGGGGAAGAAATGTTGAAGTTAAAAGCATCAATCTGGTGCACTTTGAGAGCAACATTAGGAGATCTATGGATACATCTCTCAACACCCAGATGAAACAGAACTGTAAACAGATTTATTTTTCTTTATGAATATTTGACAAATAACTCCCCTTTCAAACTGTATTCTTCTTTATTAATAACAACTTTTTTGTACTGTCATATAGTATTTTATACCTGTTTACTTTATTCTCTTATTTGTGTATAACTATAATGATCATATAAAGATGTGCCTTTACCTCACTGGTTGTAGAAAAAGCTTCTTATATTCGTTAGCATAGCTAGCTAAACAGATGCTAATAACAACAAAGTTATTGACTGTGTGATCAGTATGTCAGATGAACAGATCGCCACTGGGCTTTCAACTAAAGACGCAGAAACTGCGGCATGTGTACGGCTCCTTATCGGTACTGCAATTTCTGAAGTGGCGTTCTGGTGCTCTCCGTCAGAACTGCACCCCTGTCAGTCGAGACCATAGGGTCGAGACCTTATACAGTCTATGGTCGAGACTATGGTCGAGACATTATACCACGTGATGACACGCTCGTGTTGTGTTCAAGGACCCTGACCTTGGCCAGGAAAAACAGGCACTCGCTTGTTTAATTTTTTTGCGGTCTAGATTTCTTACATTCTTTTCTTTTTTGCGTGTTTATAAATTACCTCGAGGGCCGTACCAAATTGTCTCGCGGGCCGTATATGGCCCGGAGGTGCCCCACCCCTGGATTAAACGCTTGACTAAAACCTTTTTTGCCTGGTTGAGCTCTTGAGTCCTATTTTTGCTCGTGCCCGTACTTGTGTTTGATAGTACGAACTGGCCAGCTCAGGCATCCTGTTTTGGTGGATTCTGGCTCAGATGCTAGTTTTATAGACTTGTATAGAATGTGTGTGTGTTCATTGCAGTGGCTATATATGCTGTATGATTGTTGCTACTGTTGGGGGGCATTTCCGCGATTGGCTGCTGATGTAGCCTACTCCCCATTATTGTTTGTTTGTTGCAACAACTAAATAATAATTATTGATCAGCTATGTCTGTGTTTGTGTTTTAGTGATTCCTCTCTATTTCATTATTTCCTGTTGTGAGTGCTAAATCGCCACAACAATAGTACGAACTGGCCAGCTCAGGCATCCTGTTTTGGTGGATTCTGGCTCAGATGCCAGTTTTATAGACTTTGAGTTGGCTAAGAAGCTGAACCTTGAGACCTTCCCCCTTCCAAGACCAATGGAAGCAAGTGCCTTGGATGGCCGTCTTCTCTGTAGGGTAACTCACCACACCCAACCTCTTCAGCTAAATTTCCAGGACGGTCATACTGAGCTTCTCGTCTTTCATGTTTTTCGGTACCCCGAACACCCAATCATTTTGGGGTACCCCTGGCTTACCCTACATAACCCCCACATAGACTGGTCCACTGGCAAGATTATTGCTTGGTGTAAGGGATGTTTAAGTACCTGTTTTCCATCCAAATGTTCCCTGGCTGCCCCTCCAGCTGTCCCTGTAATTTAAGATTTCAGATCCTGATTTCCCTGACATTTCCAAGGTCCCTCAGTGTTACCATGACCTTAATGAGGTTTTTAACAAGGCCAGAGCCACCTCGCTGCCCCCTCATCGTGTGTACGATTGTGCTATAAACTTGTTACCAGGCTCTTCACCACCCAGAGGTCGTCTTTATTCCCTATCTGCTCCAGAGACACGGGTGATGAAGGAATATGTGGAGTCTTCACTAGCCGCTGGATTAATTCAACCTTCTTCCTCTCCCGCTGGAGCCGGATTTTTCTTTGCGGCAAAGAAGGACAAGTCACTTCGCCCCTGCATCGACTACCGTGGTTTGAACGACATTACCATCAATAACAGGTACCCCCTTCCTCTTATGTCATCAGCTTTCGACCAGTTACAAGGTGCTAAGATCTTTACCAAGTTAGATCTTATAAATGCTTATCATCTGGTGAGAATAAGGGAAGGGGATGAATGGAAAACTGCCTTTAACATCCCATTTGGCCTCACAAATGCTCCAGCTGTGTTTCAGACTTTGATCAATGATGTACTTCGAGACATGCTTAACATCTTCGTGTTTGTGTACCTGGATGACATCCTCATCTTCTCCCCTGACGAAACGACCCACAGAGATCATGTACGCCATGTCCTATAGCGCCTCCTGGACTACAACCTCTTTGTCAAGGCCGAGAAGTGTGGGTTTGATGTTTCCACTGTTTTATTTTTGGGCTTTATTGTGTCATTGGGCAATGTTTTGATGGATCCGGCTAAGGTTAATGATGTCTCTGAATGGCCTGTCCCTGCAAACCGCAAGCAAGTGCAGCGGTTTTTAGGGTTTTGCCAACTTCTATAGGCGGTTCATAAGAAACTTTAGCACTGTTGCTGCTCCATTGCATGTACTAACCTCCCCAAACACAAGGTTTCAGTGGACCTCTCAGTCGGACCAAGCCTTCCAGAGGCTCAAGAAAGCCTTCACCACGGCCCCTATACTGATCCTCCCGGACCCACATCTGCAGTTTGTGGTGGAGGTGGACGCTTCAGACGTGGGGGTTGGTGCTGTGCTCTCCCAGCGCTCCAGAGAGGACAACAAGATTCACCCGTGTGCTTTCCTCTCCCGGAAGCTTTCCCCTGCTGAGAAGAATTATGATGTGGGGAATCGAGAGCTGTTGGCCGTTAAGGTGGCACTGGAGGAGTGGCGTCACTGGTTAGAGGGAGCTGAAGTGCCATTTTTTGTGTGGACCGATCACAAGAACCTAGAGTACCTGCGCACAGCGAAGAGACTCAACCCTCGTCAAGCCAGGTGGGCTCTCTTTTTTAATCGGTTCCACTTTTCACTGTCTTATCATCCTGGTTCTAAAAACAGTAAGCCTGATGCTCTCTCCCATCTCTTTGATACAGGCTCTGACCCTTCTCCCCCCACTACCATCTTACCTCCCTCATGTATGAAGAAGGTCAGAGAAGCAAATGTTGGTAACCCAGGGCTGAGTGGTTGCCCTCAGAACAGGTTGTTTTTGCCCTCTCCTCTTCGCTCTCAGGTCATCTACTGGGCTCATGCGTCCCCTCTCTCCTGCCATCAGGGGATCAAACGGACCATGTTTGTGGTCAAGCAACGCTTCTGGTGGCCCACAATGGAGAAGGAAGTGGGGGGAGTATGTTGCTGCCTGCCCGGTGTGTGCTCGGAACAAGGTTTCTCGTCTGCCTTCCCTTGGTCTCCTACGTCCCCTTCCTGTACCTACTCGACCCTGGTCGGACGTTTCTCTGGACTTTGTAACGGGTCTTCCCCTGTCCCAAGGTAACACAACCCTTTTGACCATTGTCGACAGATTCTCGAAGTTGGTGCACTTTGTTCCTCTGCCCAAGTTACCCTTACACCGTTAGCCTCTCCTCCGGTTATCACCCTCCGTCCAACGGACAGACCGAGCAGCTCAAACAGGAGTTAGAGACCGGTCTGCGCTGTCTCATCCCTCAGAACCCCACTACTTGGAGTAAGAATCTTATCTGGGTTGAGTATGCGCACAACACATTGCCTTGCTCTTCTACTGGTCTTTTCCCATTTCAGTGTGCTTATGGCTACCAACCACCCCTGTTTCCATCCCTTGAGGGAGAGGTCAGGGTTCCTTCTGCCTTGGCACTGATTCGGAGGTGCCGTCGCATCTGGACTGGGGCTAGACAAGTGCTGCTTAGGACATCTGCTCGGTATAAGAGGGCAGCAGACCGCAGACGGATCCCTGCTCCCACCTATGGTGTCAGCCAGAGAGTATGGCTCT